CTGAAATTTATATTTTATAGCACAGTTCTTTTTATAGCAAATGTATTTGCTTCATGGCAGTTATTTTAATATTCTAATGATATAAATTTATTTTAAATTCTTGATAGTGAAAAATAACTTGATCAGATTTAATAGCCTAAGTAGTTTTAGTGTTGGAATTCACAGAGCGCTTTCCCTAATTTAAGGAGGCGGGGTAGAAGAGGGATTTATTCCTAATGAAAACACTACATAAAAGTAAAATCCAAGAGAAAAATTCCACACTGGGCATAATTGTCCTGACAGTTCCTTTTTGGCCCTAAGTTTAAAAATATATTCCCCAAGGGACATGGATGAAGCTGGAAACCATCATCCTCAGAAAAGTTAATACAGGAATAGAAAACCAAACACCGCATATTCTCACTCATAAGTGGGAGTAAAACACTTCTTAAAAAAAAAAAGATGATAGATAGGCTATCTCTGTAATTTGACAAATTAATATAATTCTCCCTATAAAATATGTCTTGATTTAATCACCCTGTTAATATAACTTTGTTTCCCTTGAAAATTTAAAATATCTGACAGTGTCCCTGAGAGTTTGCTGTGGTGCCCTGGAACATCTAAGTGCTGTTTGGGAATCTCAGTTATTACTCTCTTGGGTAAAGTATAAATAAATTGAATGAATGTGTATTATTAGGTAATTCTCACTTATTTGGGGGATAATATTCAAAATTAAGTAATCATCTTTTTAGAAGTTCATGGCCTTTGTGAAAAATTAGATTAAATTAGACAAGTAGCCCATTTAGTTGTAGCAAAATGATTCTGAAAGTGTTATTCATATGAAATAAAATTACAGATAGTTTAAAATTGTCCTTATATGATGTTGTGTAATATTTTTAATGAGAACTTTAGTATAAATGTAATTATTATTTGATTAATATCGTTATGAGGATTCTTAAGAAATAAAATATAATACTTCACTTATATTTCTCTATAATTACATGTGTCATGGTTATCGGGAGATGAATGGGTTGAATTCTGACTTTTGTTCTAACTGGTCTAAGGCTAAACTGAGCATAGGTAACCATTTCCCTTGCCAGGGATTAGTTTAGGAGTGACTTATGACCCTGTGGCTAATTAAATGTAATGGGAAAGTCAGGGATCAGACTTCTGGGAAAGGTTTCCTCACTGATAAAAAGACTGACAGAAAGGGAAGCTTCTTTCACTGAACACTGCTGTATCTTCATGGGATGTGCTGAACTCTGGAAGCTCATTTTGTGATCATGAGTAGAGATAGCTGAGGAAAAAAACCAACAAATTTAGTCCAGCAGGGCAGGAGGGAAGACTTCTGTGTCCATGAGGTAGATGTTGAATTAAACAGTCTCTGAACAAGTCAACCATGTCACTTCTTGCTATGAGAGTATAACTTTTCCTTATATACATTAAGCACCCTTGACTGATAACAGTTACTCTTACTCCTTAATTATTGGTGCTATTCAAACTGAAGTTAAAGAACTCAGGACCCTTGTGGGTTTCATGTAGGCCTTCAAATTTGTGTTTTGAAAAACACTCCCAAGTGATTCTAAAACCCCTTCATCTTCTTTCTAATCCTTTCCACCTCCATTGAGAACATCTGGAGCAAGATAGTTATGAAATTGAATGAAAGGACTTGGTGAGTGATTAATTATATGTGGGGGTCAGGGAAAAGGAGGGGTCATGGTAACTACCGTGTTTCTGATTTGGGTAACTATGTAGATAGTGCTGCCAGTTCAGGTGATAAGGACCATAACTAAAAGAACAACTTCAGTTTTGTACATTCTTCATTAGAGGTGTCTGGGAACATTTAGAAAGTGATACCAGAAAGTAGTTAGAGCCATAATCCTGGAGAAATATCTAAACTACAAGACTAAGAGATTTAGTAGGTATAGTTGAAACTATGGGTGTAGATGAGATTGCTTACAGGTATATCTTATTGAGTAGGGAAGAGAAGAAACTATGAATTTCAGAGAACACTAGTATTTCAGTGTACAGTGGAGGACAAAGTAGTTGAGAAGGAGGAAAAACAATTAGTGATATCAACAGTGACACATCTCATTTTATCTTAGATTTTTCTCAGATAAGTTCAAAGACCTTTGTTCTAAGAACAAATTCTAAGAACTTTGATCAAGATGTAAACTTTAGTGTTTTTTCTTTTTAAGTAAATTCTTAAATGCTTGTTTTCCTTTTCAGTTGATCAATTTATGGTGCTAAATGGTAACCTGATGGGATAAATAATTAATATGCCACTCTAACCCTAGCAATTGGCTGTCTTCTCTCTTATAAGATCAATTTTATTGTAATGCTTATTACTAGAGATATACTGGTATGGAGCCCCAAACCCCCCAAAATATAAATTTTCATCAGTCCTTGTTTCCAGTCATTAATATAATAATGGAAGTGCTGTTTTAGGACATACACAGAAATATGTATTATTACCTCTTTCATTTTGCTGTTCATAATTTTGTTTTCTATTCCATCCATTCTTTTTGTTATTCCTATTTTTATCATTTGACATATGTTAGCCAATATACTCTTGGCATAAAAATAAAACATTTTGGAGAGTTAGTAGGATTCTGAAACCCAAATAATTTTTCTTGGCTAAGGAATATTCTTTAAATGCAAAAGTCTGTAGAAAAGGAAAAATTGATAACTTCTGGAGAGTATTGTCTTAAACTTTTCACATAATCTGTGGATGCTAACCTAGAATTTTGTGTGTGCATGTGTGTGTGTTTGTATATGTGTCATATTAAAAACACTGTGTAGTGAAAATACCAGCTTTAATACACTCTTTTGTAATAAATGTGGGAGTATAATTTTCAATTAATATTACTGCTAAGAGAATTCCTAAAAGCTATTTGCATGCGCTTTATGCCTCCCTCCAAGTCTCTCTTTTTTTACACTTCAGTTTCAATAGCACCTGTAATTAAGGAAGAAAACCAAGGCCTGGGAGCTAGGTAGGACTTCCAACTATTGATCTGTGTAAACCCAGTTTATGCTGTCAGGGGAGAAACAGTCAACTGCTGAGCTGCTTTGTCACTGACATAAGCTGAGAGAGGATTTTTTTTTTTTTTGTCTATACTGTTTATACACTAGTCTATAGACCTGCTGGCTGGTTGAATTTTAAAGAGTGCGGAGGTTTAAAGACTTGTCCCCTGAGGGATGCTTCTGCCAGTTGGGAAGCGAGCTGAGGCTGTTTCGCAGAAGTGTGTGCATGTGTGTTGCTTGTGGAGGAAGGGAGGGGGAGGGTGTGAAAGATTGAGCAACTAACTGGGAAGCATTCTTCTTAATTTGAGTCTTAAAATTGATGTGAAATATATTACTAATTTGTGTATTTAGAGGCAGGTATTGAATTTTGAATATTTGTTCTTTATTGTTACAGAAATTATGTGGACAATTTTATAGGAGGAGGTCCGAATAGTGTTCACATGTATAGTAAAAATAGTGAATAGTTTCACTTTATGAAGTACAAGATAAGGATTAAGCAATGGTCAAATGAAAATGAACTGGTCTCATTTGCAATGAACTGTTTTTCAGTTTACAGAATTTAACTTACTGCAAGTTTAGTGACTTTTTAAACTACATTTAACAAAATATTGTCAGTGGTGAAACAGTTAGCTTTCGCTTAATGTGGAATCTGTGCTCATACTTTTAAAAGCACGTGATTATAAGCAATCCAGGGTACCCTGCCCTAGGAATAGATGATTTTTTTTTTACAAGATGCTTTTCTTTCTGCTTATGTGCATTAAGGTACTTGAAGCTCTCTTAGGTATTGGTGTTGAAATTTTATAACGTTTTGTTTTTAGTTGACACTTTATTGTAGTCTACCTTTTTAAAAGAATGCAAGAAATTCCACTTTAAAACACTCAATGCTATATTTGTGTATAGGAGTTAAATATTCAGATACTGATGACTTCTGTAGACCTTAGTTTTAGTGGCAAAGAAGTGGTAGCGAAAGTATTGTTCAGTGAGGATGAATGCTGCATTAAGATATTTACTCTTTTTTCTTTTCAATAGGAAACACCCTTATAAAACTCTTTGTCTTGTAAAATTGCCTGACTTCGAAGTTGTATGATGTTGTCTTCAAGTTTAAAGTTTAACTTTTGAATCAGACTTAATTTTAAGTTATTTTTCAAATAAAATAGATTTTTAAGACTTTGTTTGCCAAGTAACTGATAATTATTTGTATTTTATTGTAGTTGTTAATGTGTATGGTTTCTAAAAGATTTTTAAATTATTTTTAATGACTTAAATAACTGAAGGTTTCAAAATCATTCAGATTATTTTCTGTGTTTTATTAAAGCATTGATTTTCATATTAGGCAATTCTTAAATGAAAGTGCACAGAATAGAAGCTATGTTTTTGAAAGCTTGTTTTTAGATACACATTTCTTTAAGAGTGTTAAGATAAAACAATACCAAGAATTGAATCATGTAAATGTTTCTTTGGCTATAGAAACTCTCTTTCTCTCTCTCTCTCTCTCTCTTTTTTTTTTTTAACTGTTTGACTATGGGACATGTAGAGTTGTTATACCTCTCAGTAATTCATTCTGCTGCCAACTTCATTCCCTTTTCTCTGCCTGCATTTTAATTGAAACAACATTTATATTTTTGAGCCAGGATCTGTCAGAAGTCCCTATGGCTAGACTGTGGTACAAGTAGCAGCAGACGTAGCTTACCCATATGGTGCGGTGCTTCTTGTAAAATCCATATGGCCTTGTTGAAGGGAATCCCAGCGGGGATGTGAAGGGTGTTAATACCCTTCAGGCCAGGCCTTTCCCCCCTGGGGTTTCTGTGGCATTGTCAGTGCAATCTGCCAAAGCACAAACTTAATTCCTTTTTAATAATCAATTATTTTAGTCTAGGAACCTGTGCTATTTTTCTTAAGGACAAAGAAAGCAACTTTTTTCCTAGAAAATGTCTCAAGTTTTAACTGCATCTTAAAAAATATTCTAAAACATTTCTCTTTTTTGAAATTTCCATTTGTAGGAAATACTACAGAGTGTGCCAAAGTTCTGTTTTCCCTTTGACGTTGAAAGGTACAGTATAAGTATCATTTAAAATAAATGTAGCTTATTTTAGTATATACTTAAAAATGATTACATATGCTTTTTTATAAAATAAAATGTCCCGTCTCTTTACTGCTTCTCACAAAAAGGCTAGAGATTGAGAAGAGGTTGAAAATTAATATTTGGAAGACGAAGCCTTTTAAATCCCATCTTTTATTTTCTCTACTATTACCAGTTAAGACAAGTCTGAAAACACTATTGCCAATAGGTTCTATTTTTTCCCTTTATTCTCTCTTCTTTAGGTAGAAATTGTGAGCACTAGTGCGAAAAAATATTAATATGACCTTGATCAGAGTCTTAGAATTATGTCTTGATATATATGTTTCCTGGTTCCTATCTCACTTCATCCTCATTGAAAGGACCATCTGTGTCATGCTGTAAAACTCATGGCTACTTGTCTCTCAATAATAGCTTTATAGAAGTAGTGTAATATTATGGAAAGCTATAGGGAAACTTATAGTTTTGCAAATCTTATTTTTATATTTAACTGAACAAATATTGAATGATGAAATTGCATACAGTTGAAATTTCAAGGAACATACAGCCCTGTGAGCATAACAACAGATCATTTATTGTTTTTCATGTGATTTTTAAAATATTCTTATTATCAGTTTTCTTAAGAGGGTGATATGAAGGGTTTTTGAAAGAATATTTATTTTAAGAAAATACTTTGCTATAGTAAATATTAGTGAGACTTTATGATTTTACTGTATTAAAGATAAAGCCTTCTGAATGATGGACTAATCAGTACTAATAAGCACTGTTGATGAATGATACTCCTTGTTTTACCTTATCTGAGGAATCATTGCCCTACCCCCAACAAAAAAAGTTACAAGTTTCATATTAATAGTAAGGAAGATTTAGGATCCAGCTACGAAAAGCATATTATGAACCTTGGACACTAGAGGTCACATTTGTGACTAGAGGGTTTTTTGTTTTTTGTTTATTTTTTTTGAGTTTATTAAAGTGTAAGAAAAACCTGTCTCCTTAAAAGTGTATTTGTTAAATGTTCAGCATTTGAAATGCAACATTTCCTGACAAAACTGTTTGTAGCATTGATACTGGCAGTAATTTATTTCCTTCTGTACAATCGCTGTGGCTATTTCAAAACCAAAGTGTAGTGTCATGGATATTTTATTTTGGGACAAGGAAGCGCAAGTTCAGTTATGGTTATCTAATGGCAAGATTACAGCCAGTACTAGGAAATATATTCATATATTTAAAGTAGAAATGAAGATTCAATGTAACGTTTTATATTGCCCCTTATACCAAAGTGTGACACATATTATGGTAGTATGATACTTCAAAGTTGACTAAAATTCTTTACAGCTTAGCTGGTAAGCCTTTTTTATTTGGTAGAAATTATATTCTTATTTTATACTTGGAAATTTATTTCTCAGTGTATTGATAGCTATACAAGAGAATTCTAGGAAAAAATATACCAAGGATATTTTTGTAGGATACTTTATTGGGTGAGAATGTCAACAGGAGAAGCAATTAAATAGAGTTGGTGGTGGCTACCATTAGATTCTAAAGCGACATGATTTGCTATCTAAGCAATTTTAGAATAATTAGGAAAAGTGGCTAGAGTTGAAGAAAAGGACTTAGTCATCACTTCTAGCTTCTTCTACAGTTTCAGTAATAATATTTTGATAATTTATGAAATATGAGCACTTTTAGTCTCATGAACATTTATGGTAGACTACCTTATGATTTCCTAGTGAGAGATTAATATATGCAGAACTGTTCAGTCTATGAGGTATTACAACTTATTTTGGTGTTTATATATTTCACACTTGCTTTAGTTTCAGAACATAGTTCTGGCTTCAAGAACCAGCTGATTAGAAAGATGAAACCAATGTCACATATGAATATACTCTTGCTTTTTTCTTGAAGAAAATTGTCAAACAAGATACAATATTTCATAATGTTACTATATTTTAGGGTGTCTCAGAATCAAGTTGGACAGCACTTTACCTTTGTACTGACAGACATTGAAAGTAAACAGAGATTTGGATTCTGCAGACTCACGTCAGGAGGCACAATTTGTTTATGCATCCTTAGGTGAGTATTTGTAGTAAAAAAAAAAATTGGATGCAAAATAGGTAACTGTATCTCTGTTTTGTACTTTGTTGTGCTTGGGATGAAGAAAAACTTGTTTTCTTTAAAAGCAAGTTGAAAAATAATTTTTCCTGACTTTCTGTATACAGAATCAGTTAAGTTTAAAGATTTACCATTATCATAGTGTAACTTTCCTTGAAAGAATCGATTTTTTAAAGATTAATTTTTTGTAGAATTATTTTTGAAAACTAAATATAAAGAGATGGATTCAAATAATATAGGAGTTTCACCTATTAAATGAAATACAAAAAGATAAGTTAAGTTAATGTATGCCCTTTTCTGTCACTGAACCTGAACTTGGATTTTTAAAAGTGAACTGCGGCTTTAAGACAGAGGTTGCAAACTGATGAACCTGGTAGAAGCGTTTAGAGGTTTTCATTTGGCTACTGGGTGTTTTAAAAATTTTAAAGGACGTTAACCTTACGAATTTTAGGAAGTTTTGTATATCGTTCATATTTCACATTCCTTTTGAAAAGTGAGGATATCTACTAATTCTGCCATGGCAACAATAAACTGGAACTGAATAGCAGATTTTTAATTGTGTCATGGGCTTGCTAGTTTCCACAGGTCCTATCTGTCCTGTCTAATTGCCTACATTATCTGCCTTCATTCAGTAGGTAGTTGAGAGTATGTGTCCTGCCTGTGGACTTGGGATCTGAGTTGCTGACTGTTAGGAAGAAAGGGATCTAAAGGTCAGCATCCTTGCAATATGTCCTGATGAATCAGAAATCCAGATGTAGTCTATAAAAATAGGACATTATACTATTATTATAATATGGATATTGGTCAAGCTAGAGTTCTTAGAAATGCTCATAGGAAAAGAAATAACAATTTATGAAATAACATATTACTAAGAAAACTTTGTTATAAAATCAGTCTTTCTGTTCATTTGCTATTAATATTTAGCTACATTTGTATCATTCATTGAGTGTTTGTTAATTTACTTAGAACATTGGTTAGAGCTGGAGAGTTTTTTTCAAGCTTTATTCAAAAGTAAGTGCTTAACTGCTTTATACGTAATAGAATTGTGAATGTGCCCCCGTTCTCTCTTTAGCACAACTTTTTCATCTGGATAACAATTGTGCTTAAAACTTACGCTTTATCCAGAAGAATGTCATGCTTAAAACTGTAGGTTAATTTTTTGAACTTGGAGCAGGTTGGCTGGGGAGTGGGGGTGGAGATGACAGTATGGGCAATGGTAGGGAGAGTTCCTTTCATCATTGTTTCACGCTGAAAGTTCAAAAGCTACAGTTTAAACAGGAGTATATCTTTATGCATTGTGCCCAAGATGGATTTGCCCTCATGGAAAGACCAAAGCTGTATATGCTTTCTTATTTTTCTCAATGAATTTTTGAAACTTTTCATTAAAAAATTCAGATTTACAGAAAAGTTTTCATGGCATAATGAACTTTTATATAAACATTACCTAGATTCATCAGTTGTTAGCATGCATTTCTCTTCCTCTCTCCTCCTCTCCCCTACTCTCCCTTTCTCTCTCAATACACACACACACATACACACAGACACACACACACACTTCACCTCACCTTTATTGTTTTTGTCTACCCATTTGAGAGTAAACATCATTTTCAGGTAAGATTTGAGTCTGTATTTTATAGCTTACCTCACTGCCTCTAAACTGACCTCCTGATATTTGTAATTTAAAAATCTGAGCCTTTTGTTTTGAACTCTTAAAATACTTTGAATACATTGAATTTATTAATCATTTACAAATAATTATTGAATATTTAGAACAGTTTCTGTAAATGTGCTTGTGGAATAAATATTCTTAGGAATTTCTGTTTAAATTGAGGAAAGCAATCATTATTTGAAAATATTTATATAAAACATGAACTATATTTGTTAATCGACAGAAAGAATAGCATAAGGTCCATATTGGCAACCCAATTGTCATTAATTTGTAGGAAACAAACTCTAAAGCAAGTACAATAATCAAATTATTTTTATCTGTGGTTCTAAACTTGTATATGTAAAAGAACCCTGAATGTTGTGGTATATTCTTTAAAGTAGGAAGAGTTTTTAACCTGCAGAAAATATGATTATATTATATAAACATAATGAAAACCAAAAGTAAAGTCATGTATACCAATAAACAGAACATTTCACAGTAAGTGTTATTGAATATTTTATCTTTTATTTAAAATCATTTTTCCTGTTATATTTATTTTTGTCATTTGACAGTGCTTTTGGTAGATAAGAAATAGGAGGTATCAAAACTTTATGAAAAAATCATAGAGGAAAGTCTTAAATTTAGAAAATTCTATTCTCCAGCTTGTTTTTCCTAGTAAATTAGAAAAAATATTGACATTTTAAGATTTTAATGGCATATCTTAATATTTTTTCCTGAAAGACAGTATATGAAGGGATTCTTTGAGAACAGCTGATTTAGAGAATAACCAGTAAGTTAGATAACTATTTAATTTTAATAGTGAGTGGAGGATTCAAATATAATGGAATTCAGCATCTTATTCAGGAAATTGGAAAATTATAGATAGTTAAATGTCTATTTGTAAGCTATAATCAGTGTATCCCCTGGAAAGGAATTTTGATAGATTTCTATAAGTGCTACAGTAAGAGAAGTTATGGTGCTTTTGGTCCAAGTTTATCCATCTGGTTTGATGGTCCGTCACCACTTTTAGCTTTATAATTGTTGAAAGGATGGATAAAACTCTAAATGTCAGCTAGAAGGAAAAAATTACTGTGGCAGTGAGAGTCTACATGGAATCCCTAAAAGATTTGTGTATTTGAGCACAGAATGATGAAAATGCTTGTATGGTGACAAGCATAGTAAAATTTAAAATGCAAATAATAAACTGGTGGAAATATATTTACAACCACTATAAGAAAGAGTTAATAGCCAAAATACATAATAAGCACCTACAACTTAATAAGAAAAATAATCTGATAGAAAAATAAGTAAAGCATCTGATAACTTACAGAGGAAATGTAAATAATATATGCAGCTATGAATGGTGCTCAGCATTGCTGAGGGTAAAAGAAATGAGCCCATTAAGGTTAGCAGAATTGAAAAAATTTTTAAATAAGCAGGAGGGAGAACACACTTCATATGCTGTTTATAGGACTATAAAATGGTATAAGCTTTTGAAGGAAAATTTAATAGTATCTATTAGAATTATAAAATCTCATATTTCTTCAGTCAGTAACTTCAGTTCTAGGAATTTAAATCCAGGATTATTTCTAAGAGTGAGGAGAAAAGTGTGAACAAAGGTATTTATTATAGCATGGTTTATAGTAGGAAAAAATGCCAATTAGCTAGATTTAGTCATTCCACAATGTATATGTACTTGAAAACAACGTTTTCAAACAATGAGAGTAACATTCTGGTGGGAGAGAAGGGAAGGGGTTGTGGGACAGAGAGGAGGTTATACTTGAAAAGAATGTTTTCAAGTATACACAATAAGTACATAGAATTTTACCTGTCACTTTAAAGAAATAATAAAAAATAAATGTAAAAGTGTTGACAACATGAATGCCCCTCAGTAGGAATTGATTAGGTATATTATGGTACATTTGTAACCTCCTCTCTGTCCCACAACCCCTTCCCTTCTCTCCCACCAGAATGTTACCCTCATGAGGGCAGGGATTTTTGTCTTTTGTTTACTCATATATTCCCAGTGTCTACAATAGTGCCTGGCACATAATTCTTAAAAGACTTAATAGATAATTATTGAAAAAATAAATGAATAGTGCAACATTATTTTACTATTAAGAAAAACATACACACATATATACCCTCACTTAGAGAAATATTTATGATCTGTTGTAACATGGTGAAAAATGTCAAAATAATATTTGTGGTATGTTCTTATATTTGTAGAGAACAAGTTATATGTGTATATAAATGTATATGTATTTTAAAAATAGCTAACACATAAATATTTATATATTAATATATGATTGTATGTACTTATAAAAATATCTAAAGGGATATATCCTGAACTTTTTTTACTTTATTCACTTCAGTATTTATCTACTTTTTACAGTAAGCAAAAATCATTTCAATTTTTTCCTGCTCTAAAACTTTGAGATGTTGTTATATAGATAATAAACTGTAAATATGGAACTATAGGTATCATATGAAAAATTAGTAGGAATTTAGCTAGATCATTTTTTGCCAGGTAAAATATGTGTGTGTTTGTAGGATAGGAAATTATCTTACTAGTATGTTTTAGTATAGGCACTCCATACCAGTCAGGTGATCGTGGTGATATAGCAGAATTAAGAATGGATATGGGGGCTTGGCGCAGGGGCCCACACCTATAATCCCAGTGCTTTGGGAGGCCGAGGCGGGCAGATTATGAGGTCAAGAAACCCTGCCTGTACTAAAAATACAAAAATTAGCTGCGTCTGGTGGTGCATGCCTGTAATCCCAGCTACTTGGGAGGCTGAGGCAAGAGAATCACTTGAACCCAGAAGGCGTACATTGCAGTGGGCTGAGATCGTGCCACTGTATTCCAGCCTGGCGACAGAGACTCTATCTCAAAGATAAATAAATAAATAAATAAATGAAATAAAAAGAATAGGAATGGCACAGTTTCATTCAGTGTTCTTGAAAATTGGGATTTAAACAGAAAAAAATATTGCTAATGGGATGGCTTTATAATCTTTGAGCCAGATATTGATGTTTCTCTGTAATTTCAACACAGAATGTTCAACCAGATGGGAATGATTTGTAAGATGGTTGGAGAAATTCTATTACACCTAAAATTATTTTCTTTTTTCTCCTCCTCCAACAGTGGTTACTTAATTTTACTGTACCCTTAAGACGTGGTTGAAAAAAGTTTGTCTTTTTTTTCTTTTCTTTTTTTTTGAGATGAAGTCTCGCTCTATCACCAGACTGGAGTGCAGCGGCGCGATCTCGGCTCACTGTAGCCTCTGCCTCTCGGATTCAAGCGATTCTC